TGAAACTACTTCATCAATAACCTTCCAATTAGTGTGGTTCTTAAGGGAAGAGAAAGTGCCTCTGTGTGCAGGCCCCTTGTCCTCCCCTGGCCACGGCACTGTGTGCTGTTTGCCAACACTCCCCTGCCTCCTGGCAAGATAAGAGTTCTCCCTTGCAACTCACAGCATCAGCAAGCTGCCAGCATCAATATCTGCCTAATGCTTCCTGTAAAGATGATACTTACTGGCTAATATGAGCTCTCATCTCTGGTTTTCTCTATGGATGCTAATTTGAATGCAATTTTTAAATTCTGTTGTAGATTATATCTCCTTCCTGTAACATGTAATGAAGCAACTCTCTAAAGAGGCCTCTTGACTTTCACTAGAGAACTGCAGTACCAGCACAAATGACTTAGAAGGAGTATGGATATAAACTTACAGAGATAATATCAACATTAGTTAATTATCCAATACATCTATTCAAACTTACACCTCATATGTTGCTTATATTTGTCTCAGTTCACTGTAAATCTCCTTTTTCATTATTGTTCACAACCAGTAAATGTTACAATTTCTTATATATTCTAGAAGCATAAGTATGGGAAAAAAAATTAAACACACCAAATGTCTGATGAACAGTTCCCTTCTATCCCTAACATATTCAAGGGGCAATATTTTAGTGCTGTAATGAAATAAAACCTTTTCTTGAACAGAAGTATGCTAGCATACTTTGATCATCACTTATGTCTATTTTCAGCACATATTTGTTGACTGCTCTAGAGTACATTAAAATAAACTAATCCTTTAGGAATGTGCTTTTGGTGTTCCAATTATGATAATTAAAAAGATAGTATTCATGCTGCTTAGATTATATGAAGTGTACTTAGATACAATTTGAGACTCTAAAAGCAATGACACATACCTGTTGTCCCTATTAAGTACCTATAATTGAGTAGAAATTGGTGAGCAAATGAATAGAAAATTGAAAAATTATCCAAACTAGGATTGAAAAGTTATTAACAACCATTAGAAACATGCATAGTAATTAATCTAAGTCACTTTGAATTATGGAAAAAGAGGAAATAAATAAACAGAACTCATGTAAAGAGAACAGTAGGACTAAACTTGTAATAAGATAAATTATATGTACCATATTTTTAAACTCTGCTCTTTGCAGGACATCTTACCTAGATACAGATACTTATTTTTCCTTATTTATTCTTTGGAGATATTCACAGAATTTTTGGTCATTCAAGCTATCAACAATTTAGTAATGAAAATTAAATAAAGCGATAGCAAACATAAGGCTGCGTCCACTAAAGTGCAGCAAAATTCAGTACATGTACTGCATACATAAGGTTTGCTGTATTCTCACAAATCTAAATATTTTCCCAAATAATCTAGTTTCTATTTTCTATTAATTTTCACTTTTAGTGAAAAAAGACCTTTTCTTCCAATAATTGAGTAGCCAAGTGGTCAAATTAAGAACGCTAACAGATTGCATGTACATGAAGATCAAATGGACTTGTATGGAGATTGTGGTGATTTTTTAATGCTTATGTCAGTGATACAGACTACAGAGACAGAAGAATTTGTGATCCTTCCATCAGGAGTGTGTCAGAGACCTTCCTGTGCTCTGAGCTCTGAAAGCAGAAGCATCTGCCTAAAGTTCAGAAGTGATCAGGACCTCCGCATTCCTCTCCACCTCTGCAGGTACCTGATAATTGCTCCTTTTCAGAATCCATGGGTTAAGGCACTGATATTGTTTTTCCTCTAAACCCTTTCACAAAGCCTTCAGTGACTAAACAAGTTGGGAGTTGCTGTGATTATGCTGACATTATCACACAGTACATTTCCATTTTCAAACTAAATGGTCTTAATTTTTAGAATCAACTTTTGGAACCAAGTGTTTTCCAGTCAATGTAGAAACACTGTTTTCCATAATCAAATTCTATTATGTATTTTAAAATTCTTATTTCTCAAATTCCTCTTAGAAAACTCACTTACAAAAAGCAAAAATAGATGAGCCTTGAACACACTAAAATCCAGCTGTTAATTTATGAAAGGACTTTCTTTGTTGTCCCATGACAACATCCAGGTAATAGCACTGGGAAAGAACTTCATCAAAAGTGTTCTATGGAAATAAACATAGTATATCAAGCATACTTACTTGGATTCTGAATTTCAAAAAAAACTCTAGTAGACTAAGAAAGCATGATTTTTTTCTAAAAGAAAAAGCAAAAAGCAACTCACATAGTCACATTCACTCTTCACCCTTATATCACATGCTTATTCATTCTGTCTATTCAATCATGTTGTAGTCACGACCAGATTCCTTCATATAGGGGTAGAAAATGACTTTTTATGCAGATCCCCATGAATCCTTTTTTTTTAAAAAAAAAAGGATTTGACACTTGCCATACCTATTCTTCCTGTGCTGAGGCCACCATAAGTGATAAGCTATCATCAAAGCAGGTTGTTCATCAATGTCATGTCTAAGTTCCTTTGAAATACCTGGGAGAATATTATCTGGTCCTTATATTTGTCACAGTTCATTGTATGAATTTCTTCTACAGTGCCTTCCATTGACACTAGATTTTAAACACTTTCTGGGACTTACCTCTCATAAGAAAAAGCTCCAGGATTAGAAGTTCCCAAACTCTTCCAATGCAATGAATTATCTTACTTTTATGTCTTAGAAACTTTCCTCTTTCAGTGTATTTGAAAGAAGGTTCTACTATTAGTTCTTATGCTCTTAAAAAGTTGGTCCTCAAAATCTTTGTGGGCTTGCTATATGACAACTGTAAATTTCATTTGGTAGAGCTCATGCTTAATTCTTATTCTCAAATTATTCTGGTTAATAGAACTTTTTTTTTCTGTTGTTTAACTAGGCCTTTAAAATGCTACAGCTTTTGTAGCATGTGACCAGTCCCTCTGAACTTTGTATGGATTAGTACTGAAAACACAGCTGCAAAGCAGTAAGGTAGGAACTGCTGAATGTGAGATTTGCCCAGTGAGATTTACCCAGCAAATATATCAGGCAATACGAGTATGCATAGGCTTGCAAACTTCATTCTCCAGCAGAGCCATTCTTTCCCAGTAGCATTAATGGAAACACAGTAGTGATGTGTCAAATATTTAACAGCAACTTCGGACCTGAGAATGTTCCTCCCACATCTCACAGGGCCTCTTCCCCAATAAAAACACACCAGCCAGCAGTGAAAGACTGTGCTGTGCCTTTCTATGACTCTTCCCTCCTGTTGCACATCATTTTTAGGGTACGATTACATTTGGACCTCTCTCTCTGGTAGGAGAGGGTTTTGCTCAAAAAGAGCCACATTAATCCTTTTCCTCTTTGAAACAGTCGTAAAAGGGCTGTGAATAGCACTGTCCAAGCTTCCAGGTCATGTGCTAGCAAAACAAGAAGGTCAGCAGTTACGACAGAAAATACAATTGCCTCTACACCCACGAGTGATGGGTTACATTTGAAAACTCTCTGCCTCGTGACACTGTTAGACACAGTGAGTGTGAAATTCTCAGTGACCCCAGCCGCTCATTACAGTTTTCTCTAATGTGCCATGGCAGAGAAGCTGAGAGCGGAGCACTGCTGCAACTTGAAAGAATACAATGTTAAAGAAGCTGTAACAGTGATGGTTCTCATTTCGTGCTGACAGGGCTTCCTCTCCACTCACAGGATGCATCTCCAGCATCAGTGGTGTCTGGTGCTGAGTTCCTCAGGAAGAGCAGCTGTCGTGCTTCACGGGCACCTCAGAGCTGTGACCGGCTCCGGGGAGCCTCAAGTGCTCCCTCAGATGATCAGCAAAAATGTGACTGCTTAATGATGGCAGGCCTCTAATTAAGGCAGAGCTATCTAAACCTAGAAATAATTTTAATCAAAAGAGCTGCCTAATTATTATACACACTATACAAATGAGGTCACTTAGACACGAAAGAATTCAAGTGAGTGGTCTGAAGGCAACATTGTTTACAAAAATTGGTAGAAGCAGATACCAGCAGATTCAGATTGTCAGTCCCCTGCTGTAACTTCTTCAGTGTGATATATTAATTTTGTGCCTTTCAAAAACTACTTCTCTGCTACCAAAAGAGATCCAGGAGAAAAAGGGGGAGTCACCCAGCAATTTTTGATAGTCCTGTCTCTGGGGACCAAGATCACAGAGAAGATGGCAGCCAGCTTCCAGACCCTGATGGTATAGAACAAGAAGGCTGATTCAACATCCAAAGCTAATAAGAGCAAAGAGAAGTGCCAGGGTAAAGGTGACTCTATTGTACACTGAAATACTGGTATAGAATTTTAAAGCCAATTAGAAATTCGCAATGCAAAGTCACATTAAACCAAACAGAAATGAACATCCAAATCCATACACATATTTTAAGAACTCAACTCTTTTACCTTACATGTTTCCACACCTGAATTTATGCTATCTAAAACAACCAGTAACTAAAATTAGAATAAGATAGTAATGTACACACAAAATAATTTCATCAAACTATAAAGGTAAGAATTTTAAGTTAGCTACAGATACCACTCTTTGTGCTTGCATATATTGAACAAATCCACTGGACACCTCTTCTTAGGTTTTCTGGTCTATATCACAGTCTCCTCTAGTCATTTATTGCTAAATATCTATCAATACTAGAGGTCAGAATTGCTATCACTGCATATTTATGGAGGTATGTGTACACATGTTTTTGTTACAGAAAATGGAAGACAGAAAATCTAAGCCTTGACAAAAGTGATTTAAGCTATCATTTGCAATGGACAGAGCACACACACATAGTCACTGCAACTCAGCTGACATTGAGCAACAGGAGTTCAAATCTGTGAGAGCCCTAAGTTTTACAGAACTATCCTCTCACTTAAGTCTCACAGCTGAATTACCACGTTTGAACTTTTAATTTTCAGTCACAAACAACAAAAATGGTACAGCTATTATCTGACGCTTGATACATACAATCCCAAACAGGCACTTTATAATTAGGCTCAGAAATCAAATACTCACTGATCTGGTTGGTAGATGCACTATAAAAAGCATTTACAGTAGTTGGGCTTGTAAACCACCTGTAGTAAGAGCAAAAGAATATATCTGTCAGTACACTTACTCATGTCTATAAATAAAAGGAGTAAAGATAAAAATTGAACTCAGTAGAAGGAATTAAAAATATTAAGGATCTAGAATACATTAAAGCTTAAGTATTCCTCCATTTCAACACATGCTACCTACACTTTCTAGAACATGGAAATCTACTGTTCACTGACTTTAAGTGCATACAGTCAATAAATGCTCAACTGGAGTGATTCTTAAGCTTTCTATTACCTAATTTGTTTAATTTCTAGGTGACCATTGTGCTTGAGAGGTCTGCCGTGCTGATGAACTGAAGTTCAGGCAGCAGAGGCTGCTACACTGACAGCAGCTGTGAAAACTCTCTTGGGTGGATTTTAATCATGTGTGGAGAAACTCCCTGTTGAAATTAGAGAGCATTTTGAAACAAGTGTAGTGGTTTTAGAGGCTTTGCTGAACAACTACTTGAACAATTAGGTTTATGCCAGCAATACAAGCTGGTACTTTCTGGGAATGTAAATTCAAAATAAACAGTTTCGTGTTCTGTACCCTACACAATGAACATGGCCATCAGTGTGCTCCTAAACAAATAAACCTAATGCAAAGCATTTCTTCCCGTAGTTTGATTTCTCATACATACTGGAGGAAAACCTAGATTTGAATAGTATTGGACTTCAATGATCCTTGTGGGTCCCTTCCAACTCAGAATATTCTATGATTCTATGAATGGCAAATAGGATTTAAGAATCTCTTTAGCTTAAGCTCATATATATTGACAGTGGCTTCAACCACAGACTGGAAAATCTCAACTGACTTCAGCAAGATCCAAATCACCTCAGATGAAAGCCTGAGTTTAGTGAGCCCAAGATTTCACCTTATGATTTTGTAAGGAAGAACTGAGATAAAAGTAATAAAGATGATGAGAATTAGTGGTTAATTCATAATAAATTAGAAGTGAGTCCAGTAAATCTCCAAACAGGAACATCCTGATGTCTTTAGCAATGCATTACTCCAAAGTTTTGTAAAGCTACATGAATGCAATATACTTGCTTTGGAAAATTTCTTTCAAAGAGAAGAGATAGGAGCTGCAAAACAAGGAGTAAGATGAAGGAAGATCTACAAGAACATGGAAAATGTGTGATAGCAGTAACACTCATGTACAAAATCTGTGTTTTAAAATAGCACTATCAAATAAATGAGTCATCTGTAGATCCTGACTCTTTTTCTGACAACTAATGTCCTCACGTAAACCATGTAACAAAGGGAAGAGTTTTAAAATGGCAGCATTTTGTGTTTTATCAATAAATTTAACTGCTTCTCTTATTCTTCAAGCTGAGCAGCTTATTTTACAATGCATCAAATAGAAAAACTAATCGATGAAGGCAACAACAATGCTATCATGTACATATCTTAACCATCCATCACATTATAGGCTCTAATTGCCACAGATAACTCTCCCTGGTTTGCTTATTAGGAGACTGTGAATGGGAGGAGAAGGGGGAGGTTGTTTTCTGGTGTGTTTTCTGTTTTTTTCCATAATAAGGAGATTAAATGTTAGAGGTAATGTAATTAGATAATGGAAAATTGAAGAAAGAATGTGTATGATGAGGGGATAAAGAAAAAAAATTAGGAGGTTTAATCAACTACATTTCAATGTCATGTTTATTCAAAGCAGCAACTAGCTGAACTGTTCTGAAGGATGCAAGCCTGCCACATATGCTTTGGGACCTGTTCTCCAGGCTTTGCAGTAGGTCTGGGGGACTGCCCCGTTTCTGACAAGGAGAGAAACAATCTGAAAAGGATCCATCTGAAACACTCAACACTTTAATTTACATGTTACTGTAAGTTTGATCAAAGACACATAGTGTTCTGACTTCCACCTCACCCTGTTGGCTTGTTCTACCTACAATAGCCTTTCCGTTCTCACAAACAGCAACTTTTAAGCATGAAAAAGGCTTCTGGAACAGCAAATCCTCCCTTTTTGCAAATTCTTCTTAGCCTTTCATTTCCAGTTAGAGAATCAAGGGCCTGAGACAGATAACAGATACTTCAAAACACACTAATGTGCTTTGCTTTTCTCCCCATCCTCTCTGCTCCTGCAGCCCTGGGGGCTTACCACAGCTAGTTGAAAGCAGGAACCACCACAAGCAGTGGTCAAAGAGCTTTTCATTGACAAGTGACACCTCTCTAACAGGAGGTTTTATTGAGTGAGGAGCTAGTGACACATGTACTTGTCACCACAGGAACACCTCAATTTGCCCAAGAACAATGGTGAATGCTGTTGACATTTGGTCCACAGTTACTGAGGGAGGACATCACACCATCCTCTGGCCATACTTTCATACCTGTAAATTCACAGACTTGGAGCTTGTAGACTACCTACTAAGACATATCACAGCATCCCCATCCCGAGACAGCTTCTTTCTTCATGATCTACCACAGCATTAACAGAGCCCATCCTGTTTCCTGAGCTTAGTATGAGCCAAAGACCAAAAGCAGCCTTGATTTTCTCATTGTAAAACTGAACTAAGTTCTTCCTAAGTTACTCTTTCATAACAAGGCCTCAAAAATGACCCTGTATGAAGTTCTTGTCTTTTTAAGCAGTGAGGAAAAAGAGACTTAGGAGCCATACAGAAAGAACAAGAGTTCTCTAGTTGCAAGCAGAGTATAGAGCTTAATTTCATATCTAACACTTTGAAAGGAGCATATTTCCATTCCAGCATTTTGTTGTACCATTACGAGCCACTCTCAGAAAGATTTAGGAAGTATTTTCCATAAAAGAGTAGAAATAACCAAGAATGCTTCCATTCAGACTAGCAGAAGAACTTCACTTCTCATCTATTATCCTCTTTCACTGAGCTGCTTGAAAAGACTGAGCCTTCAGTGACAGACCTTAACTAATAACACACCAAATTTCCATATGAAGGTATGTAATAAATAGCTGTTGCTGTTAAATTTTAAGGTGAAGCAATTTTAGAAGTATCTCTCTCATTTCTGTTTGGTGTCAGGTTGCCTGGGCATTTACTCTAGGTCTGGTTAGAATTTCAGTGCAGTTTATCTACTAACAGAAGGATAGAAAAAAGAGACAGGCATAACACATTCCAAGCTCTTATTAATTACAAAGTAAACAAATTAAAAAGTCTAGAATTGTTTGTTGCTTTCATTTGCTATAAGCATGTGAGAAAGGAACAGCTTTGAATGATGTCCTGTAGCATTACCTATTAACTACTGTAGTGGTCAAAACCTAATGCTGCAGACTCAACAATTTTGAGACTTCTCTTGTAGAAATATAATCTGAAACCTACACTGAAATAGCAAGTGAGGCAGATACTCTCTTAGTTTGGGTTTCTTTAGGCTACAGTTTTCTCCATGATATTTTCCTTTCTGATTTAAGAGTATAGAGTGGTACATTAACAATCACGAAGAGAGGCAACTGGGAACATTTACATTACAGGAAAAAGCTTATTAAACTATTTAATTTTCTGTAAAGCACAAAGGTAAGTTGCAATTTGTTTTCTCAACTTTTTGAATTAGAAGAAATCACTCAGTTTGCTGTTCAACATCTGAAGTAAGAAATTAAAAAAAAAAAATCATAAATAAAGAAAATGAATTTGTGAAAGTACAACGCTTAAGCTGGTTAGCAGTGAAAAGCTGTACAGAGTTGCTGGATGATGGAAAATGTTTTCCCAAGAAAGTACTATTAAAAAAAAACCTTCTAAATGGGAGGCAACCTTCAAGGTGACTTTCAAAAGTGTATTTCCTGTTCTCATTGTTAATCTGTTTTATACATTTTCTCATGTAGAAACAGAAGATTAGCATCCCAGGCCAGGCTGCCATCTGTCTCCCTTAGGGCTGGGCAAGAAACTGGGATGGTAAAGCTGGGCCCAGCCTTCAGTGCCACTTCACTGTTTAAAACAAGGTTCAAAGACCAGGACAAGGCTCCAGGAGAGACTCCTTTCCAGCCTCTCCTCTCCAGGGCAGGTCCCACCCACACAATTTCTGAGCTCTCCAGCAGTGTCTCTCTAACAGACAACAGCCTACTCAGTGTTTTTCATGGCTGCTTTTCCCTTTTTGCAGAAGGAGCTTTTACACTGTCCTTAACAGCATCCAACACAGCCCCTCTCAGAGCTGCCCTCCTTTGTATCAAACCAAGAGTCAGGGTTTACCAACAACAGTGTGTGGCCAAGAAAAATAGGAATAGGTCCTGGAGAAGACTCAGGAATCCTCTCATAGCACAACTTCTTTGTGTCTTCTGATAGGGATACCAGATGTCTACATCCCCAGCACTGAAAGCTGAGTGAAAAATGAATGATTTGTCCAGGTCTAAAAATCTTAGATTATGCCCTCACTTCAAAGGAGAGAGATGAATAATAATGAAGTGGTATGCCCAAGAAGTCCTCCGATGCTTTGTTATTTACAAGTATGATATCAGTGTTAAGAAGGACAGATTCAATCACTGATAAAAAGGTGCATCAGGTGTGTGTTTGTATATACATATACATATATGTATGAATGTGTATGGCTCCATGGATGGATAAGCAAATGCAACTAAAACTCTGAATCTCCTTTATTTCTCCCTTCCATATGACAATCACTTCCCTCTATACTGTCTTTCATTTCCCTCTGCTCTAGCTATTTCTCACCTGGGTTATAATCATTGCCTTCACACCTGGTCCTCATCCTCCCACACTGCCCCCTTCCAGCCTCACCTCCTCCATCCACCCTCTCAGTGTAACCAGTGCTGGTTTGTGCACCATATTCCTCAGCACCTGCACAAATCCCTTTTGTTCGTCTCTCTGCTGATACCTGAGCACTTTTTTTCCTGTTCAGTAGAGCCAGCTGTGAAGATGACAGCCATCTCCCCAGCCAGCTGTGACGATGGCAGCTGCATCCAAAGTGGGTGTTGAGGACAGCAAGTTACACCTCCTGCAACTGTGATGCCCAAGGGGAACCTGGCTCCCAGGATATGCAGAACAGGCAACTTCAGCACCCCAGTACCTTGTCACAGCTCTTTGGTACCAGTAGCTCCCCCACCCACACCCTGAGCAATGCCTCATCTGACTTCCTACATGCTTCTTTTTCCTGTCAGGCAGATAACTGCTAGGGATGGAGGGAGCAGAACAGAAAACAAAGAATTTTGATAATTACTCCTGCTAGGTTGTTGGTTTTTTTCCTCTTTTTAGATTAAAAACCTGTTGAATTTCCAAAATAATTAATTTCTACTTTGATACCCACATTCCCCCTTGTTTTATCAAATTCCTTTATCTTGTATCCCCCAGCTCCTCTGTCCATCCCCTCATGGGGTTTCCCTGGTGCTTTGTGTGAACCCTCATTTTGATTTTCTGTTAGTTGACAGTGCTGAGGAAAGTCATTGAAGTTTGAAATAATATTGTTGAGAAACAGGGACCATCTGCTAAAAGAATATTGTGTTTTACTTTTTGAGTGTAATTACTTTATTATCTGGTAACTTATTTCCTTAAACACTCATTTTCTTATTTCTTTCAGTTCACAACTTTGACAATATTGCAGTATTTATCTCTAAATATAAATGCTGTGCTAAAAGCTACTAAACTAGGGAAAAGAAGAAATGAACTAAACAGAAACAAAATCCCAAGGGTAATTATCTATTAACACAGCACCAAGCTTCACCAAAAGATCTGTGGTGTTCTATTAAATGTAAAAGTTTAGAAAAACAAAATCAAACAAAGAAAAAGAGAGAGAGAGAGAGAGAAAGAAAGAAAGAAAGAGAGGAAGGGAGAAACAGAAAGAAAATAAGATATGTAAAAGCAACAGAAAGCAGTAGAGTATGATAGTTTAAAAGTGGCAAATGGCTAAAAAGTGGCTGATACTTTTGAGGCCATGCCTCAGACTGGTGAGTGGGAGTCATTGGTTTATTTTAACAAATTTAAAAAAATTTACTGGAGGCAGCAGTGACTCTTGTGCCTCGCTACCCCTCAGCAGACAGAATGGCACCACTTTCAGGGCCCTTTTCTATCACTGAGTAGTTGCAGAGACAGAATAATCTCCCAGCAGGAACCCTAATTATTCCTCCCCACCAGGGCTCAGGTGGCATTACCTCCAGTCCTACAGAAGGCAGAGTACATAGGTGTGCTAACAAAGGAAAGAGACCAAAAATCAAACTGCCACGCCCAGGCCAGAATGTGCCCTGATGGATGACAAGAAAAGCTCAACAAAGGTGATGAGGGGGCTGGCTATTACATGGTCCTGGAAATAAAATGGTAAAGACAAACATGAGAAAGTGTTCCATCTTGGTAGTGGGCAATCGGATAAACCCTTCATTTTTTAAGCATACTCATGCCACAGTTCTCATAGTGCAGTCCTTGAGTCAGGGACTACCTACCAGTTAATTTCCTTACAGGGGAGTTTTCCCACCATGCCAAGAATCTACACAGTCTGTATTAGTGCTGCCCCAATGCTGATCACGAGGAGGAGGTTGCTGATCACAATTGCCATACAGGGGCAAGTGTTATTTCACTGCTCTCATGGAACTCTTGCTCTGAAGAGAATATACTGTCATGATCTAGTCCTGACATCCAGGAAAATCCCTAAAATGATGCCCTGGGATTAACCAGTGCAATGTCAGAGAAAGCTGTGACGAGAAGGTAAAATTCAAAATTAAAATTAAGGTATAAATAGTCCCTTCAATATATGGGGCCAAATTACAGCACTCTAACTGGCATGTCCTGCTAACATCCTCTACCTTCCTGATGGACAACACAGAGCCACCTTCAGAACAAGGTGTGGCTCAGTTTCAGTAGGATTTTCTGGAGTCCTAAGGAAATACCAGCACAGGAGCTCAGCAGCAGCACCAATTTCAAAGTCTGTGTGTAGACAGAGTCATTTTTAAGTATCATGATTACACTAATTAGGTTCTGCTTAGGTTTTAATTTGCATTTTAAGGATTTGATTACCCACCAGTAAAAAAAGAGACTGATTCTCTCATGTATTTTATGACAGTTTGTGACACAATCTGCACTCTTGTGTTTACAAATAAATAAAAATAACATATGTAAATTAAATTATGTTTCATTCTGTACCATTGCTATCAACAGCAGGTAACTAACAATGCTGATTTATATTACTAATAATAACATTCTTATAATAACATTCTTACAAAATTTATTTCATAAATCCCTGCTGTACCATTTCAAACTCTAACTGTGACCAAGAGACATAATCCATTTTTAATTGCAATTCAATTACCCCTTTTTTCATTAAATTAAGTTTAAGCTGCAAGAATATGACTACTGTACATTCAAACAGGGATACCTAGAATTAAAAAAAACCAACAAAACACGTCCCCCAGGAGTTTCTGAATAACACGGGGGTTTGCCCATAGGCTTTTTGTATCATAATATGTTGCCATGTATATAATTCTATTAAAATTAATATATAATAGTATTTGTCCTATAAATTAGATAATATAAATTAAAACATTGTTAGAAGAGTATGTAAATTTGCCTTTTGTCTACTCACTCTGTTTTTGGAACTTCTTTTCTAAGCCAGTAGAAATCAGATTGGGCTACGTATTTGCGAGTTTGCAACACATTGCCAAAAAAGTCACTTTCTGTAAACTTCAGCTGTATGGATAAAGCACAGACATTTTAAAAGCATATCCAAAGAAGCAAAAGCTGTCATAAAAAGCATAACTTCTATTTTTTACAAGATAATCACCTAATTTTTCAGTAATTATGGAAGCAATTGGAATTTTCACATTTTGGTAGGAAGAATAGATATTTTATGATCTTAGTTAAAACACAGAAGTGGAACAGATGTACACAAGGGTCTGGAACGCTGGAAAGGCTCTTTCCTGTGCAGAGAGGTGTTGAAGAAATCATAAGCACCTAACAATGGATTGCAGATGGAACTTCTCTTTTCCAGGAGGAAGTAGGCTTACTTTTATTTTTAAAAGTGCATTTTAAAACCACTTCTAACAATGTCACAAAGTCCCCTTTCTCAGTTTGCTTTACATTTTATAACAATTACTTCATACTCTGTGCCCTCTGAGGGTTCTGCCACTGCTTTCTTACTGTTTCTCACATTAAATATATACAGCCATAGGGCTCTGTGCTTCTATAAATTTCCAAATCCAATAGCAATTACACATACACATACAAATAACCATGCAGGCAAAAGGGATGTTAATAGTTCATAAACCCAGATGATATCCCTGTCACCAGCTTAAAGCAATCCTAGGATTTGAGAGGAAGTTGTATTTCAGATGTAAACTATGGTTTTGCAACCACGATTAATAAGTATTTTTCACCAGACATTGCCACTTATCTGGGCGAATGCTTTGTCTCATTACACTGTCTTCACAGCACCATCTCACCCTGTACTTCCCACAAAAAAGGACTAGGCTGGTAGAGTTGGTTCTTTAAAGTTTTCTCAATAAACTAGGTCTCTGTTTAGTGTTTGTTCATGTGTTCTGGCAAAGATGACCATGTCTCTTTGTTTTACTGGCTCAGGATTGAATTTAGGGTTCTATTTTGCCTGTGACTTCCAGTAATACAATTCATCACATGCGTGCCACAGTTGGAAAATGGTAACATATTGTTATTGTTGTCACTGATGATGATGATGATAACAACAACAACAACAACAACAATAATAATAATAATAATTTGTCTTCCTGCCTTACTTAGGCTGAACAGGTCAGGAAGGAGTCCCCACATAGTATCTTTGCCCAGCAGCCAGCACAATAGGCCCATACATTGGTTAGGACATCTCGACAAAATTATAAGCAACAATCATAAATAAAATTCATAGCCTGGAGAGCCTATATAGGGCATCATAAAGTGTGATATTCTGAGGTAAAATGCTTGTTGTGTTTTTGAAAACCATTATTTTGAGAAGAAATGCTTTTGGTTTGTTTCATTTTTATAACTAAATACCAATTACAGTGTATGTTTAACCTTTAAAATGCTTTTTATCAGGAAGGTTCTTTGCACCCAGGTGCATTTTACTCCCCACAAGCCTCATGATCTCATTTAGGCATGCCAGCATTGACAATTTAGATATGAAAGCTAGCACACTTAATTAAAAAATAACATAAAAATAACCAGGCAAGCAAAACTCCAGGTGCATGCCAAACAAAAGACAAGCTTTGATTTTAGACAGCAGTGAAACAGAGCAAAGAATAGCTGCAATATGTAAATGAAGAAAGCTGCAAGTCTGACACTTACTGTTTTGATGTCTTCATTAATATATGTGTCATTCATTATAAACTCAGGGTAACCAACTTTCGCCATAACTGCTTTTGCCTTTGAAAAAGAAAATGAGAAAAAAAGTGTTGACAGATAGAACCACTTATCAACATACAGCTTTTTTTTCCCCCTGCTCTGTTTCCATTTTGCATTATTATACTTCCCTAGAGGCATCTTAATTTAACTTCAAATCAACTTGCCTACAAGGTAAAATTGGTGCCACAAATGAGCTCAGCATCACAAGGCAGAGGGTCCAGATTCTGTCGTTAGATTATCACAGTGGGTCTGTTGTTGCCTGCAGAGCTTTTGCGTAGTTACAGCTATGTGTTTGAGTGCAAAATCTCAACAGCTGACTTTCCCTACCAGTTTTTGTGTTAATCAGATGGTCAAATGTCTGTTTTTACAATGTTTTCCGAAGGACGACAGAAAATGGTCCATTTTGCTATGGCACAGTAGCTGGTACACATTCAACGCTTAAAACAAATTTGATACACAGATGTGAATGAACCTTGGTCCCAGCAAATGCAGACTGGTGTATTTCTACTGAGGGCCACTTCTATTTGCATCTGAAGATGGGCACACACTCTTCTGAAGGACATTGTGCTTTCCTAAAACTACAGGACTAATTTTTGTTTTGTTCTCCAGTTTTTGCCCTTTCCCTAATGTTAGTAAGGGTGTTAAAATAAGACACTTCACTTTTCATTAACTTTGCTTTTTTTAACTCTTTTAATCATGACTTGGTCCCAGTATTTATGCACAGCCTGTGTAAACACTCCAGTGTGAAGTGATAGTAGCTGTAGATGAGTATTACACTTTGTAAATCATGGTGTGAATGTATAAACAGCCTGAGCATTCTTCTCACAAAAACACCAGCAGGCCACCCTTACACCCAGAATCTATGTGGAAACAGAATTTTCCAGAAGAAAAGCAAAAGGATACAAAAAGATAAGACTACATACCAAGATGTGAAATGTGACAATCTGTAAAATAAATTAAAGCTATGATGGACTAGGGTAGCACTAAGCTTTCATTTTGTATGTTTTCAGGATGCTGAATGTATTTTCCCCATAAGTCTTTGGAATTTCTTCCACCCCTCAAACAGCACTCTTCTAGACATTTGTTCTTCAAACTCAGATGTCAAAACTCAAATGAATATTGCAAGATATGAAATGCAATAAATTAATTTGCCTCTAAATTAACTGCAGATGTACCAACCCTGCATTCTGTTCTCATGAGCAGAGCCTGGACCCCTCTGGGGTCCACCAACTTCCATTTCCCTCTTCAGAGGGTGACTACTCAAAGGAAGATTCCCCTTCCTGCACAATTATATCCCTTCTCCCTTCTGCCCCTCCATAGTATCTCAATACAACAGGGCCTCCTATGACAGCCAGAATTCGAAATGGCTGTTCCACTACTGTAAGAAGGAACCTGATGGAGGACTCCCCCCATTTAACCAAAATAATTCTGTCTCCTCTTTTATTTTTCAAGAAGAAAGGCCTCTTTGCTTCAAACTCCTTCAATTTTTCAATCTCATTTCCAATCCGGTCATAATCCTCCATTTGTGACATCACAATTAATTGTGGTTGAGATAATTAAGATGTCACAAACAGACACAACAACTTCAGGTAGGAAATTAGCAGCAGGAGCAGATGATCTCTTAAGCAAGAAAGATCCCATTGTCATGCAAATTGCTCTAGTGATAAAGAAAGCAATGGAAGAAAAATGCTGAACGGGGAAATATGAAATGAGCCAAATAACCTCTCAACAGAATGTTTTCTCAGTTTTCCAGAAGGTTTAGCAGTCTTTCAAGATATTTTAAATGCTGTGGGGAGGAGGGAGAATAAAAAGCTGGGGAGGGAGCTTTTTATTCATCTGCAAGTTTGTAAGCAATCAGGAGTGTCTAATTTTTTTCCTAGTGGTGGTGTCGGGTCCAACTGACTGAACTTTGCAAGGAACCACAAAATTTTCTTTACCATTTTCCATGTATTAATTCCAGTTAAAACTATCCTTGAAAAAGGAAAGAGCAAAACTCATAAATTTTAATTTCTGCTAAGTCAGCTGCTTAAATGAGTTTGGTGAATCTCATGTTCTGCATGAGTTCCAGAGTACCTGTCTGAATCACATTAACCTTTGTGTTGAATCTACTTAATTGAACACCTTAAGATTTGAATTAAACAGATTTAATTTAAAAATTGACTTATATGATGAAGAATAAACCCTTTAAAAACAATTTATAGTGCAACATTTAAAAAATCAACAGTGGTTTTAAATCAAATGTAAAGATTAACTGTGTCAGCATTTTATTAACGATTTAGTCAGCACAATGTCGATCAAAAATTTTTGATCCTGTTTTGGCATATAAAAGAACATTTTTTGTTTAGAGCTAGATTACATCCTTTAAAAGCGCTCTTAATTCGTATACTGTCTTCCAAATAGAAGCAAATAAATTCATGCCTCACTGGCTGTAAATGCAAAGAGTATAAAGCCAGCCTAGATCTGGCAGTGCTTCTTTGCTGAGAGATGGGCTCTGCCCTTAAACACATGGTGCTAATTGTCTGGTTGTTACCAAAGTAATGTCCATCTCCACCACATGGACATTTTGGGATCTTTGTGGAATATCTGCCACATCCCTCTCACTCTCTTCTACCACAGCAGCCCCCTGAGGGCAGCAGCTTGGGACTGCCAAGTTTTGGCCCTTTTAGACCTCACTCTTTAACCAAGCATCTCTAAGGGTGAAGATGATGCCTCCAGGCTCCTTAATAGCTGGTCTGACATAGGTTGAACTAAAGATCAAATATAATCACATAATCTCACAAGTAACCATATAATTAACTTTTTTTAAATTTTACTTTATTGACACTTAAACCCTTTACTCTTTTCATGGCCCTGCTGCATTAGGAAAGGAAGATGGGAAGAGTTCTTCAGCCAGACTGCCTCAGGAGAGCTGGGCACACTTGTCAGGTGACACATACTTTTGCTTTGTGACATGAAATTGAGATTTCTAAACAAGAGAATAAAATAGTTGGGCACTACTATACTATGAGGTATTCTTTTATAAAGGCTATATAAAACCCTAGTAAATAACAGAGTTTGTCTTGGAGAGATTTTTGAAAGTAAACTCAAAAGGTAATGCTGCTTCCTGTACTTTGATGCTTTATCAATGTCTAAAGCTGCCTGTATTTTGTAATATAGATAGATAGATAAGGGGGAAATGTTATTTTATTGCATTTGTTACTTAAAAGTTCTTATCACAATATTTGTGGTTTAGAGATCTGAGCAGATAAGACAAAGGTGATGCTGATAGTGAAGGATGTGTGGCTCTTGGTTGGGGAAAATGTTTCCTATGGCCAAAGCAAAACCTATGAGAGGACACAGGAAGCCCTCTGAAGTCCTCGATAATCCCTCCAATTGGGATTTCTCCTAGGAGCTTTGCATCAGGTGCAAACCTGTTCAGCTGAGCCCCACACACAGCCCAATTTATTTACACAACTGACAAGGTAGAAAGTATCATACTGGGAGCAGGTTTCTGAATTTGCATGTTGGAAGTCTTGTTTCTGTGTCTATCTTCTCTGTTCACTTGTGTAATATTTAACAGCAGTTTGAAGACTCCTTATTTATACAGCACAAGGAAGTGGAAATCTCTTCTACAATTGGCTTGCTCTTTGATAATGATGTCAGTATTTTCCCCTTGATAAGATTAAAAGTATGTTTAAGGGACCAGCATTCCCAGAGGCATCCATATGCATACAGGGAACTCAAATGAAATGTGACAAATGTACAGGAACCAGCCATGTGGCAATTGCACATGAATCCACCATAAACACACCATGCACAGTTTTATGGTTTAAAGGCTCATTTAATTCCTTTTTCTAATTTGCATATTAAATAGCCACGTGTACAGGAAGAAAAAGAGTGATGGGGTACTTCCCCCAGCTATTGTTAAGTGCTCAGCCTATGTTGGGCTGTTGAGTAAATTAAGAAAACTCATCACTGCAGTACTCTTCTGTCACTGACAGCAAGAGGCTCTCACAGGGGGTGACACAGAGAAGCAGCTCACTTTAGAGTAAGTCATGATAACTGTTTTCCAGCCCAGCAGCCAGAGAGAGCAGGCTCCGAGGCAGAGGACCCAGAATGAGATTACTCCCTCCACCTCTCATTACGCATGGAAGTTTCCCCACTGACTTCAACAGAGCTGAGATTTTATCATCAGTGTGTCTTTCTGTCACAATGAGAGCGCTGCTATTCAGTTTACTACTGAGACAATATAATAAAAGACCTTTCACTCTTGACTTAACAACTTGCCAATGTGGGAATGCACAGGTATTTCAATGCTCCAAAGCATCCTAGTTTCCATTCTATTCAAATTCTCACTTGACAACCAAGTTTGCGAGCCATTTGAGAGCCTTTTTTGCCACTCAGAGTATGATCTGGATATTTTATATGCTAGCAACACTAAGTACTGACATATTGTACTTACTGTAAAGAAAAAAAAACACAACACATATCTCACCCCTGACAAAGTTTTATGAGTCTGACACAGATCTTCTGTATATCAACTTGACTCAAAATAACTTTGTGAAGATCATTTTCAAGCTTCTAAATATATAAAAAATTAATACAATTACAGTTCACTGAAAAATTAGCATGAAATACATTCTGAAAGCTAAAATCATTCACGGCAAAGTAATGTTCCATTTAATTACAAAGATTAATTCAGCCTTTATGTACGTGTCTGGTCATTTCATTTTTCATTGAAAGCAGATAATTCAAGAGCCATCTGGTAAAACTGCTGCATAAATATCACTGCATCTAACTAGGTCTTATGTATAGAAAAACTATGAAAATGGAGTTATGGATCTTGGCAAAACACAGAAAAGTTCCAACACAGGGCTAAAGCCCAGTCCTACGGATGTCAGTAAGAAGTGACCCACTGATTTGAGTGAGAGATAGACTGGGCTCACCTTAATGATGCATAGTATTTCCTTTGTGGGGCCACATGAAATCTCAGGGATTTGCACATTGTCAAATACAATCAAAAGTGAAGTGTCAATTCAAAC